CTCAGAAGAAAGCATGTAGAAGAGCATCGCTCCTTTTTTGTTGAAGATACTATTCAGTATCACTCACTAGTTTAGGTGATTCCTAAACAGCTTGGATCACCTAACCACTAATTTCATAGATTTCATAAATTTCATAGACATTAGGGCTGGAAGGGACCTTGGAAGATCATCAAGTCCAGTCCCCTGCTGGAAGGGCAGGAAATCAGCTGGGGTCATAGGATCCCAGCAAGATAAGCATCCAATTTACTCTTGAAGGTGTTCAATGTAGGTGCTTGACCCACCTCCGATGGCAGGCTGTTCCAGTCCTTGGGGGCTCGGACAGTAAAGAAATTCTTCCTTACGTCCAGCCTGAAACACTCTTGCAGTAGTTTGTAACCATTCAACCTCGTCATCCCTTGGGGCGCTCTGGTGAACAAATGTTCCCCCAGATATTCATGGTCACCCCTGATAAACTTATAGGTGGCCATCAGATCACCCCTGAGCCTGGGCTTTTTCAGGCTAAAGAGCCCCATGGCTCAGCCTGTCGTTGTAAGGTCTGTTTTTGTGACCTCTGATCATGCGCGTGGCTCTTCTCTGGACTCTCTCAAACTTCTCCACATCGTTTTTGAATTGTGGGGCCTAAAACTGGATGCAGTACTCCAGCTGCGGCCTCACCAAGGCCAAGTACAAGGGGAGAAAGACGTCCCGGGATTTGCTTGAGAAGCATCTATGGATGCAAGCCAGCATTTTGGTCGCTTTACTAGCCACATCATCACACTGCAGGCTCATGTTCATCTTGTGGTCCATGATGACCCCCAAGTCTCTTTCTTCCATAGTGCTAGTCAGTGTAGCACTGCTGAGCCTATAAGGATGCTGCAGGTTTTTCCTCCCAAGGTGGAGAACCTTGCATTTTTCAGTGTTAAACACCATCAGGTACTTGTCCGCCCATTTGCCGAGCCTGCTCGCACGATTTTTGCAGAAACTGCGATTTCAGGAGGGCTCCATGAAAATGGGTGGGTTCCACAATTTTGGTAGGCTCACTACAAAACAGAAACACCTTACCAGCAAACAGAGAAAAAACTGGGAAGCCCTGCAGACTTGGAGCATGAGCGGAATGAGGAGGCGAGAGGGTGGGAGAGGGGACAGAGGGAGGGGGAGCTGGGCAAGGCAGGGCTGTTCACAGGAGGAGGTGCAGAGGCTGCCTCCATGTCCTCTGCTGTGAGCAGCCCCACTTGGGTCCCCCTCTGCCTTCTTCCCGTGCTCCAAGACTGCAGGGCTTCCCAGCCTTTTCTCTGCTTGCCAGTAAGGTTTCTTTTTGTGGGGCCGGGGGTGGGGTTGTTTTGGTTTTTTTGTTTTCTTTTTTGCAGTGAGCCCACCAAAATTGTGGAGCCTGCCACTTGGAGATGGCCTGAAACCATGGCTTAATGACTCTGATTAATCCTGGGGAAGGGTTTTGGGCCATGTGGCAAGCTGCAGAGAGGGGCAGGACTGCCAGGGCCCCTCAGTCAATCAGAGGTGTGGTGGGTGGGATGGGGTTGGCCCGCCACACTGGGCCTGCGAAAAAGGTGGCCGGCCCCAGGATCTGCCCACAAAATCGGCCAACCACCTCCTTTAGTTTGGTAGACCCCTACTAATCACCACTTGGATTCCTTACCTATGCACCTCACAAAGAAACACACAAGTAATGCTTTCTATCATCACTAGTTTGCTAGAAAACTCGGCCCCATTTTGGCTAGCAATGACCCACGCTCAACTATTTACACTTTCATCACATCTTAGCTAGGTTATAGCAACGTGATATATAGGGACTGAACACCTTTAGCATTTATAAAAGTTCAGCCAACCTAACTCCAATGAATTTCTGCTCAATGAGAATGTCCTCAAAGAACAACAGAGTGCCAAGTTAATTAATCTATATTTTAATGTACTTTTGTTCACATTTTGTCATGTTGTACATTTCAAAGTGTTTGAAACCTTGCCTCATATTCTGATTCTCACAGCTCTGCTTTGTCTATCATAAATTCTTGCTGCTAGAAACTCACTCCAAGATGAGATTTTTTATTTCATTTAAAAGTTGCTGAAAGAAAAATACAGACAAGGGGGAATTTCTATTACCATGGGAATTGTAAATGTATGTTCACCTGATGGTCACCTTGAAGAGGACAACTTCCCTCCTGACATGCTCAAGCTGAGCAGTCTAGATTCCATCAGAGGAAAGTACTCTCAGGAAAGACTGACAAAGGAGTTATAAGACAATAAAAACTAGCTATATTACTTTCAGATGTATTTACAAAATGAGAAGGAAAAAAAAATCAATAAAGGGAACTGAAAGCAATAAAATCTGTTTCCAACAAAAACTGCAAAAAAGGAGAGACATTAAGGCTAAACCCTTCTGAATTCAAAAGCCTTTGTAAAAGGAAAACCATCAACTTGTGATTTCAGGTACTACAGTTCTCCATCCTCCTGACCGTTGTGGTTTTTAAAATACATAAAAACTGCACTCGCCATAAAAACTACCCAGGAAATTGATCATAAGAAGTAATGTCATAAGAGTACAGCTGGAAGGGACCTCCAGGGGTCATCCAGCTCAACCCCTGGCCTAAGGCGGAATCATCCCGATCTAAACCATCCTATACAAATCCACTCTCAGCAAAACTACAGAGTCAACCCTGACACAACACAGACCAAACATCCTACCCTACCACAGGTAAAGCGGCAGCAGCCAAGGGTCTGCTACTGTGAAAGGTGAAGACGTGCTCTGGATGTGCTGGGTATCGGACCATGCCCCCTGCTATAGAGGAAGTCAACCGCCCCCCCCAGTTGACCATGGGGTAAAATTCCTTCCTGCCCCCAAATAATAGTGAAGACAACTACCCAAAATGACTGTATCTGCACACAGTAAACCGAGAAAATGATTTTTCCCTTTACTCTTTTTTTTGTTTGTTTCTAGTAGTCTCAGGGTTTACTTGTAATCAGAAAAGGTCCAGAGTCCGCCTGAGCCTGGGCGGCGCACAGGGCTGGGGTGGGCGGAAAAGCCGCTCCGCTCGCTGTGGCCACGGGCGCACAGGGCAGGTCGCTGCCAGCACCGCACCTGGCTGCCACCTACCGACCCCCAGTCTGGCTGCGGACTGAGCCAGAGCCAGCCCGGCTGTCCGAACCAGTCGTGCTCCGCTTTGGCCCCGGCGGGGCGGTGCCGGGTCCCCGCAGGGCCGAGCCGGCTGCGCCGAGGGGCAGGGAGCGGGACGGGCCCCGCCGCGGCGATCCGATCCGGCTGAATTGCCACACCCGCCTCCCGCCGCTGCCC